CACTATGTGACTCTGGTTAATGAACACAGACATAACTTAAGAGGGCGAATGTCTTCATGATCGGATGAAGAGAGCGGGGTATAGGAAATGCTATTCGGAGTTAACAGTACAATACCTAAAGCCTTGCCGTAGTGAATAGGAAAATTAAAGTCACGCTCCGGGATCAGGCGCGCTCACCTGTTCCATCCCGGCGGAGGACAAGCGTTGATGTCGCACCCCTTTTGCCGCTTGAAAGTGCGCGACAAAGCGCAAGGAGCTCGTCCGACCCGCAAGCCCTACCCTCCGCTGTCGGTTGCCAGGTGGCTGTGCTCAAAAGCGCGGGCGCGTAGGTTAGATTTGTTGAACTCGACCGCCCCTTCTCTATCCCAAGGTGGAATGCGGCTGAAATAGGGGAGGTCTCTGCGGGGCGTAATCGGTGGTTTCGTTTGCTTTCCTTCTCTTTTACAGACCACCTCCCACCTATAGCTTCATAACTGAACGCTTTTCCACACCTATTTTATCCCGAATCTTGCCTTTACCAAACAGATAAGTGATAAGGCATAGAGAATTGAGAGGAATTTTCCCGTGGGGGAGAATCGTCGGTGTGACTGAATCAATCATTCTTGAAGCTTCAGATTGATTCCACCGTTGTCGACGGGCATCGCATATGCGAGGTCAAGTATTAGGTAGGTTCATAATTTTTGAGACACTTTACATATATTATTGTAAAAATCTTTTGATAAGTATTGAAGCTTTCCAAGATGTCCTGCAACTTAGCACACAAGCTCGCCTATCCGACAGGCTAGCCAACTCGTTTGCTTGTTACTTTTTTTAGCTGGAATTCCACCTTCTTTGAGACCTACTTTTTTGCTCTGGAGTAGCCGTCTAATGCCAGTGTCAGTGAAGAAGATAATCTTCGACAGCTTGATGGCGACGCCTTCAATTGAAAGCAAAGGAAGACAAAATCTATTTTTTCTGAGGTCGTTCGAGTCCACCTTGCTAAGAAACCCATGAAAAATTGGAGACTCTCGGTCTCTTCTAGCTCCTCCTTGTAGCACTTACCTTGTGCCCAACGAGCAACCATCCATCCTCTCTCTAGTTCACCTTCTGGAGAAGAAATCTCACTTGAATCACCATGATGTCAAAATCGACATCCAATTTTTCTTCGATCAGAACTCTATGGAATTCTACAAGAGGACACTGAATACCCACCCTCGCATTGGTTATATGTTGGTAATAATGGTGATGTATACTATGCTGAATAAATACATCAGAGAAATAAGATAAGTAATTGAATCGAAAAACACCAAAGTTCTCAAATTATGGCAGACCTAATATAATCGATGCTAAGAGCTCATTCTGTAGACTTGGAGAAATAGGAGGTCGGTAGATTGGGAGAAATCAGGGTTTTGTGCTGGACGCCTTAGAAAGGTGTGGAAAAACATCACATCGGCCTTAAAACAAGCTTTGTAAACAACGAACACGCGCTTACAACCGCAATCCTTATCGTTTTCCTTTCGCCCCCAGTTCGAGCTTTTCCTTTTGTCGCCTTCTTACCTGGTCATTGATTTTTGGAGAGCAATGCAGGCAACGGACTTTGCGAGATCTCGATAGAGCTTCCAAAAAACACGCTAAAAATACATTTAGCTAACCTTGGCTTGCCCTCTGTCATATATCCAATCCAATAAATTTCTACCTAAAGCCTAAAGTTCCAATGTCTAGAGCATCAAGCAAGCCAACAACAAAAGGCTCTATATGTACTCGGCGGTGGGAGGGCAAAAGGCTCTACTCGGCCTTAGTGCACCGAACAACACTGGTGACCTCCAGCTTTATCCGCCTTAATAATTTCATTTGAAAGCAAAGGTAGTGCACTTTACGCAACTGGTCCTGGTAAGGGATCCCTTCGGGGCCCTTATTGGCTAACATTACGTTAAATCGCTTTAGCAACAGAAGAGTCAGTATCAATGAGGGAGAAGCTATCCCGGCGTGATCAATACGCTTTACGAAAACGGGTGTTCACTGAGAATGTCTTACGCAATATTCTCCACAATTCTCGACAAGTAGGCTACCACTTAGGCTTTTCAGAAGCCTATTCTTACCATAGAGGTGTCATGCGTCAATTTTTTTCTTTTGTACGAATCCTTTCATTATCTCATCTTTCCAATGGGAGTTACCGTAAAAGGTGCCTACATATTTACACAGTCCGCTGATGGAGCGATATCGACGTTGGTACAAGTATCCGGTGAAAAACTGCGAAGAAAAATCAATCTCATTTATGTCACTCTTTATTCCTAATACGGATCCTCTGAAGTCCTCACCAGAAGGCAGGTTTCAGGATAATATCAGTACGTAGGGGCGCTCAATTACGAAGTTGGGGGGCGGACAGTAATCTGAAAACGGAAAAGGGATCGGTTGTCCTACGGGAGGGACAGCATAGAAAAATTAATAAATCGAAGCTAAGCAATACTTACCGATGAGGAAGTTGAGATCGGTAATTTTGTCGTCTTCTCTAACAAGTGTGGCAGTGAGACCGAGTTTGCAATGCGCTTGCACAATAGTCAACACTCGACGGAACATCTTCGCAGGAATTGTGTGCACTTCTGAACCCAATCTATAACAGGGAATTCGCCTGCGGATATATTTCAACGAAGGCAAAAAGCAAAAGTAGCTCTAGGAAGAAGTGAGTACTCCCGCTCAATGCAACGCTTTTGCACAGTCTCAATACTTTCCTATAAGAGCAACGTATAGATGAGCAATGCTCCCATTAACATGACTGCAGAAACATTTTAGCAGTTAGAAAACAACACAAATAATTGGAAAGGAATTCATAGGAAATGAATCGCACCAAGACCAGGAACAGAAAGGCGTGATTTCGAAGTAGGTAACGGATGTAGGTTCAATATTGTTTCGGGGAAATAACAAGTTTTACGTGGAAAAAGAAAAAGAAAGAAAATCTGAATGGGGAGGCAAGACCAGAGTGCATAGTCTAATTATGGATATCACACCTACCACACGCCAGAAGTTTTTGAAACCCCAATATGTGTGGAAGACAATGCAACTTTATCTTATGATTATCACCTGTTTGATTTTTGAGCAACTGCAGGCTACGATTCTCTGCATTTTGTTCATCATCTCCATCCATTTTATTATAGAGCTCTCCAATATCCTCTGGAAAATAAAAGCAGAAGCGGCTCGTATAGAGAAAAGGACAAAATGTTATCAGATATCTAAATAGGCAGGCCAAAAGTAGACAAAAATATCAAAGAAACAACGAAAACCATCCAGCTAGCACTCACATCATCTCCACCTTCAGGCTTTTTCTCTTCTTCTTCTCTTCCGTTCTTGAGGAAAATTGATCTTCTCTATTTGAGTATAAAGCGAATCATAAGGATCATATTCACAGATCATGAAAGAATTCAGAAAAACAAGCATCAGCATCAGCAATCTAATTCTACGCTGACGACTGAATCAAATTTCAAGTTTTGAGGTTGCAATTCAACGCTTGTATACAACGAACCATAAAACCTATATACTAGTTAGTGCTGCGATGTCTAGTGCTTGTTCCTACCACGCACCGTGCGCAAAGGAATGCAGCCAGTCAAACGAACCTTAGTTTCTTCAACTGGTTTCTCGTCTTCCAATATACATGACTGTATTATGACCTTATCTTTTAACAACTTCTGTATGACCCTGTGCAACAGAATCGTTCCCATGGTCATCGCAAAAGGTTCATTGACTGCACCCGCAACATTGTCACTCCAATCGACACGTCTTATTGTTGCGGCCATCCAAAGTGGACTGCTTATGGCGCCGCGCAGGTAACAGCGCGCGACGGCACCACTCCTGGACGATTCTGTTGCACGCTCCCCTTCGATAGCCATGTCCATCTGCCTACTTATCAACCGCAAGAGGATGGATACGTTGTCCCCTCAGTTCTCTCTTCCGAAGTCCGACACGCCATCAAGTCGGTGAAGAATCGTACAGCACCCGGTCTCGACAGGGTCAAACCGGAACATCTGAAGAATGCAGACCGTTGCTGGCGCCCGCTCGAGCAACGACGATCAACGGGACGACAGGTGATACAGGTGATGGGGAATTGGTCGAGCTTACGGACGGATAACTAAAATTGCTGGTAGATGTACCTTCAACACACACTATTCTCAGTCTGTCCTTAAGATGTTGAAAGGAATAACACTTATTCGATAAGTCTCCCTGTCGCTGTGAGTATGGCTTCCAGTTGCTTCGAACAACTTTGGTGTTTCCCATATGGAATCGCGAGTGTCTTCTTCAAAACTAAGCTTTCACGACAAAGCTTGACTCCTCTATATGAGCCCATTCTTGATGCAGCTCTACTCTAAATAGCGGAATAAGATGGTCCAGCAGGTTGAAATCGAAGGATATGAGTGACATTTCTTCGGGGATGTGAATTAGGGAACGGTATCATTGAAATGGTCCTAGACAACTTTTGCTCCTTATGCAGAATTTGGTTACCTTTGAGAAGAATGTTATTTCTCCTTTGAGAAGCTAGATACCTTATTAACAGACCAGTTTTGCTCCGCCCGCTATCGCGCGCATCACACGACAGTCTTTAGCGAAACTGGAGGACCCATGGAATATCAGCATGAGGTCCTCCATTAACCACCTCACTACTTGAATGTGTTAGACCTTTCCCAAATTCGCTGAAGTCCATCGAGAATATGCGTGATAACGTCTGGAACTGAATTGGTGTACATATATATCTCACAACTGTAAACACCCAGCATTTTTCTTGAATTCAGATATTTAGCGGTGAACTACATTTCACTGCTGGATCTCAATGAAAAAAAATATGCCTATTTACATAAGTGAGGAATTAATGCTTATCATTTGTTTACATTCACCATTATTTAGAACCCCGAAAGGATTAGCGGTTCAATGAGTTTGGGCTTTCTTGATATTGCTTTAAAAATCAAACTTATCATTTGCTGAAGACTTGTTTGAGTTTATGCAATCGACTTCTATTAAGTAAGCTGGTCATATCGATACAATGTGCACGTACCACTACAAATAGAATTCGTAAGTAGGGACGCTCTAATGACAACGCGAGTTACGTGACGCAATTGGCGACTTGTGTTCTGACGCGCCTTATTAGCCATTATCAGTTGCTATCGCTTCAAGTCATGTACCACCAATGTTCCCGGGACCCACCCCACATAACACTTGTAAGTATGGACGCTCTGGTGTCAATGCGAGCGGCGCAACGGAATTGACGACTTTTGCGTTCTGACGCGCCTTATCAGCCCCTTATCAATTGTCACTTTCAATCCACCAATAATGTTTCGTCCGAGCCCACATAGCATTTGTCAGTATGGGCGCTCTGGCGTCAATCGCGAGCCCTGGTACAGAAATAGACGACTTGTTTCTAACAATCTACAGCCCTTAGCCGTTGCTATCGCCTATCACTGTTTTTCTTATCAGCTCCTATCACATACCACCCTGTCGTGGTATGTGATAGGAGCTGATAACGACGTCCACCTTGTTTACCATCCATCATAAAATCCTTCTATTTTATAAAGCGCTAACTTTGTTGTCGGTTTGTATGTCTGTGTGTGTGTGTATGTATGTATGTATGTATGTGTGTCCGTCCGCAAAATGAAGTGAGTGAGAAGGAAGCTCATGGGATAAACAAACCGCTAACAGAATCATGTAGCTCACAGGACTTTAGCTATTAGTGTTTTGCAATGGCATGATTGTGATAACACCCCAACGGCTACATAAACACCTACTGAGGTCACTTCCAGTTATTTCACATGGTGCTACAGCCGCTGGAGGGCAGTGGGGGAAAGGAGGAAGAAAACCAATCACCTACAGACCTAAGGTTGGTTAGGTTTTGATGTCATTCCAAGACGTAAAGCGTACACAGGGAAAGGAAGTCCCGGCGATTGACGGGGGACCAACCTGGTATGTTGAACACAGCGCGCTAATCGTTACGTGACTCGAGCATATGAAATTTCGTACAAATACCGACACACACATCCGTCCGCCAGACTATTGACTTAGCGAATTATATAAGTGGGTGCTACTCGAAGCATTCGTCAGTTGGTCTGGTCGAGTTCATTGCATTTTCACTCAGTCATTCGTGAGCAACCGTGATCGAGACCCTTGCTCAAACGTGAACAAGATTGGCTGCTGCTGCTTGTGGCGGATACACCTTTCACTCTCAGTAGCTCCCGCGAACCTCATGACGGGCATACCTCAAGAGTTTGAAGATTGCAGCTACGCTCCATGTGAGAAATTTTGTCGCCGATGAAAACGGTGCTCGCAATCCCCGTTTTCGGCCCCTCGACGCCAGCTTTTGAACTTTTTGTGTCAGCTGTGCTCCTCTGTTGGACTGAGCAGTGGTGCTTATGCAGCTATAATGGACTGTGAGCAGTGTCTTACCCTCCAATCTTACACTGTATTAATATTTCACCACGTTTCTGTGCTTTTCTCGAGCCAACATGGTGTTCAGCTGTTCGCTTCTTCATTGTTGTTCTGGAGAACAAAACTTTGTGAGTGGAGGCCCGGCAACAAAGAAAACTCTATTGCCTTCTTCTTCACTACATCATCAGGTAGCCGCGAGCGAATCCGAAAATTAAAGAGCTCGATTTTCCATCCTGGAGATGTCCCACCTATACATAGGAAGTTATGGCATACAACCTTGGAAAAAAATCTAAGGGCACCCACACAAATTAAAGCTCAAAATGTTTTGCAGTATTTATGGAACACCCTGTATAATACCAAGAAATACACAGCAAACTGCACAGACATATATTTGTGTGGTAGTATATGTAGGTCCGCTACCTAAGACGAAGTGAGAAGAGAAGCAAATAAAGCAAAAATAAAAGGTAAACTCCCTCCCCTATGAGGTTTTTCCGAAATAGATCCGACGACCCTCAACACCACAAATAGAATGCGCGAAATTGAGTCGCAATCTAAACTGCTACAGCTGCCCGCGCTCTGTCTGCACACGACGGCGGAAGGTGGCTTGCGGGTTAAGGTGTGGGTTGGGAGGGAGTTTCCAGCGCGTTTGTAGTGCGCTGTGCGCTCTAAGCGCCGCAAATGGGACACGAAATTAACTGGATTCCACCTCTCTACCACGATCGGGAAAGGAGCAGGTGGACGTGCCTAATCCAAGAGTGTACCTCTAAAGGCGAACTTGGGTGTCAGCCCCAGTATTAGTAATCACGTCGCGAGTAAACCTGTAGTCTTTACGTACAAGGGTCGTGTCAGCTTCGTTGCACAAATGCATAGTTAAGGCGCTAGTCTTTACGAACCTGCAACCAACGTACCGCTCACCACCCACAGCGATTGATATGGAGATCATTCTGCTCCCTCGTATGGCGTGCTTCCCGTGTTTTGTCTTCTGTAGTTGCACTGTTTCTACGATCACTGCATTGGATCTTACTGGAAGTTGCGTTCTTAATTTCAGCCTTTCGATGATTTCTCTTGTTTTCTTTCCCACGTGGATTATCTCCACTGCTCAGCTATCCCTATGAAGCGCTTCAATACACCAGTTCTAGCCCGGGGCTTGGCTTCAAAGCAACAGCCCAGGACCACTTTGGTGGGCACAGCGCTTTAGAATGAAGGGGTCACGGAGTTGACTGAAAAGGATAAAGCGAAGTAAATAGAGACTTCAATGAGGACCCCTTCGCTCTCGCTTTGGGAAGAGGGAAGAACGTGGCTGATCAAGTTTTTCTAACACAGCCGCATCAGCGACGCACCCTTCATATTCTTCTACTTATCTTATCCACTGTGTCGTAATCCTCGTCCAGTATTACGGGATTAACATGAAGCTCGTCCATTTGCTCGAATTGTAAGGCCCTTGCCCCTTAGTCACGTTCAACAAAACCACTTCTGTGATTATTGTGGCTGCTCGATCCTGCTCGTAGGATACGTTAATTCCTACTACCCATTCTGGGTTGCTGCTTTGGGTGATCGCTGTGTTCTTGAAAAATCTGTGCTTCGAATACCATCCGATTAACCCTTTTTGTTAGGGCTCGGGTGATCTTTTCATAAAATGAATTTGTGAAACTGTGCCAAAATGGTACGCAGAGAACAGGGCTGAATTCAAGTTATGTCTTGAGATACTTGCTATGCATAAGCTTCGCTCTAGGTGGATCG